TATATAAAATAGATAAGTAAAAATATAGAAAAACATTAAAGTAATAAAATAATACGCTTAATAAATCTGAATTAATAGGCACACAACTTTTTCCTTGTACACATGATAAAAATCCTGGGCAGGGTGTGGGGGAGAAGTCCTATTTGGAATTCCGTATAGAGGACTGAGATTCCACTGAAATGGAAATTTAAGCTTTGAACTGACTCTAGTATTGACTGTAGAGAAAACCATTTGATCAACTAATTTTTCTATGTGTCTTATCAAAGAAATTTTTGCAGAATCAAAGCGAAGTGTCTTGACTTTGACAGCACAGGGGAACAGTGCGTCCACAAGGCTAATGCCTTGTCCACCCCTCTCAGAGCCCTAACTTCAAATTCTTGCTGTGGTCCCAGATTAAGGATGTCTTCTGTGAGATTAGGACATAGACTCTCTGCACTCTCTCTGGTCACAAAACCATCCCTGAGTGGGCTTAGAAATTCTTGAGGAAGGCCTTGCACTAAAAAAGAATTGAAGCAAGATAATTTTTTAATTAAACCTACAGATGAAGGGTATTTGCCAGTGGTGTTTAATACTACAGATCAAGAGTATTGCACTTTCATAACCCTGAGGCAGCTAAATTGCTGCTATTGCCATTCTACACACAGAAAGCAAGACACAGAGGACAAGCAAGAGGAAGAGGCAGTGACGAAGTCTGAATTAGCTCAGAAATTTTTTTGCTAGCACTTTTGTGCGCAGGCAACAACTTTTTTCCTTAAGGTGAGCTGCAAATTCATGGAATCATAGAATGGTTTGGGTTGGAAGGGACCTCAAAGATCATCTAGCTCCAACGCCCCTGCTGCGGGCAGGGACACCCTCCACTAGACCACGTTGCCCAAAGCCTCATCCAACCTGGCCTTGAACACTTCCAGGGATGGGGCATCCACAACCTCTCCGGGCAATCTGTGCCTCACCACCCCCACAGTAAAGAATTTATTCCTAATATCTAAATCTACCCTCTTTCAGTTTAAATATTAATTAAATTTAATAATTAAATTTACTAACGAAAAAAACTTTCTACTATTGCTAGAGTTTAAACACAGATACTAGTTTCTTTATACGACTGAACTCCCTGTATCTCTGCATTAATATTTACCTGCTGTATTTTTGCCAGGTCAGTAGGAAAGCTTGCAAATAGTCCTAGAAAAAACCCCTGTTCTTTCCTATCCTGAATCTCACATATCCCAGACACCGGGACGGCTGTGCAACACACTACCATAGGGGTCAGGTGGCTGTAGGAGGGCTGCATTTCCTGCAAGGTATTTAGCCCAGCCCTGCTCTGCCCTGGGTAACTGTAACTGACTTTTCCAAGTTCCTCTTTATTACCAACATACTGTGCCTACCTCTGTCAGAGGTCTGTCTGGAGCTGCCCAGCTCGGGGTGCCCAGCGTCTGAAGGGACATAAGGTTATCTATACTACCCTCTTTTACCTTCTGCTAGCTCCGATAAGTGGTATTTTAAGCAATACCTTAATGTATACCTTTCTTACTGGGCTCAGAACAGACACCAGCCCTGGTGCCTCGCACTGGCGCATAAGAGATGTCTCTCCTGGAACTGGCTTGCGGCGGCTCTGGGTCTGCGTGTGAAGTCCAGGCTTCATTTTTACTTACTCATATACTGTATTTAGCTTCATTTCCATTGATGTCTTAACTTCTTTTATTTTATATACTGTGAGTGGAGTGACTACGAAAGGCCAGAGAGTGAAGACATCTCTCTTTGCCCCGGTGCAGGGCACTAGCTCTAACCTGGAGTCACCCTTTCTGCAAAGGAAAGCGCCCCACTTCTCCCTTTCCAACCTGTCCTTGATCTTCCCCACACGCTGACTGGATGGAGTGAGAGCACTGAAAGTGTGTATTATTTGTTGGGCCTTACACAGAGAGCACCAGTTCCCTTCCCATGCAAGTTGCTCTACACCCATCAGACAGTAACAAGGTGCCATCAAAACTCACTTTATAATCTGCACTCCAGCTCCCAACCTTGAAGCTTCTGCCTCTGCATGCCATTAGCAGCCCTCGAGCTAGTGGACCAGTGAGTGGACCAGCAAGCTTCAACAGAAATGCTTTCTAAACCTACATTACAGTGATAATAAAATGCTGACATAGTCTAAAACTATTCTTGCCTACACGGCTCTGTTACCAGTGTTACTGCCAGAATCATCATCACCATCAGTATTATTACCATCTTTATTAGACAAGATAATCTCAATTATCATTAGTGCTAATTTATTATGCTCATCATCAGCTCTGTCATCAGTGTCATTTGTCTAATTGTTGCTCATAAACGTTTAACACAGAAAAACAACTGCTAATCTGCAACATTTAAATCAGCTCAGCTCTGGGAGCAAAAAGTGGGAAAATACACGAAACTCTCAGACCTCCAACAACACTGTAACTACTGACATTTGGGAATAAGTATTGTTCTCCACAAAATGTCTATAACCTTCTTCTACAGAGGCCAGTGGAGGAGTAGCAGGTTTTTGCCAGGGGAGGTGGGCAATGACGATCTATCTGCTCACCCCGTGTGCAACAGACCCTCGTGCAGAGAAGGACAGCAGACACTCCTCCCTGGCTGGGGAGTGACACTGGCTCGGGATAGGAAACAGCAGCAAAGGACAGGTGCACACCTGCACGTTTATCTCCACCCCCCCCAATCGCAGTTTGCTGGAATGATGTTTTCCCCTCAATTACTTCATTCCACGCCAGTGAACTGCACAGCTGAGTCTCAGCATAATTCACAGTCAGGCTCATTTTGTTGTTGTTTGAAAATGGGAAATGCTGGGATACTGCCCAAAGGTAGACATCAGCATGGCAGTGACATTTTACGGTCACTACAGAAACTCTTCCCTTTAGGACAAGTCCATTATAAACCCTTGGATGACCCCCTGAACACCTGCAGATGTATTTGTGCCACCAGCCTCAAAGCCTGAACACTGGAGTTACTAGACCTATTTCACATATGCCACTGATGAGGGAAAACAATCCAGGACATGTCATTTCAAAGCCAGATGCCTAAACCAGAAGCTCCTGGACTGTCAGCAGGGTCAGTTCTGCAACACTAGCACAGCACGGAGCCGTACCAATAAGCCCGATAACGGCAGGACTTGATCCCACAGACAGCACGGGTCTCCTTGAGCTGCAGGCACGTGCGTGGAAAGCCAGATGTCCCGGTTTGCGTCTCTGGCACAGCGCTGGGACACCGAAGCCAAACTCTTCCCTGACCCAATTGCACAGATGTCGGGGGAGCGGTGGTAGCACAGGGCTATGCTTTTTTATCTTCAGAAAAGCAGCCGCGGGAGGGCACTGACACACGTGAGACCATGACTATAAATTCCAGTGCAATGAGGCATTTGGCGCTTGTTCCCCTTTGGCAACCTGCGGCACAGGGGAGAAAGCAAACGGCAACCCGCGGCAGGGTGGTGTTGGCAAGCCGGACGCGATTGCTCACCGCTGACATCTGCGTGACGGTCATCCACTCGGGAGGGATGTGGAAGTGAGCACCAGCCGAGTCTCCCAACAGGATGACCCCTTGCGAGTCCGCACCTAATTAACGCATTTTATTAGTCACATGAGCAGAAAGAGCAAACCGAAAGAGAGGCTGGAGAACAACCCTTACAGAGCAACAGCAACGGCAGCTGACGGAGTCACGGGGTGGCTGGCTACACCACCCTTCACATGGCTGAAACGTTCAGACCCTGCAATGGGATTTTCACTCCCTCTGCAGCAAAAACTGACTAACGGGCATGTGCGAAGAATCCTAGAGAAACAACCGGGGACTGGGCATGAAAAACAGGGAGAGGTCTTGCTAATCAGAAAAAATCCTGGTTGTATTCAAGGATGGATGTGTTATTTCAGCAGAGGCCCTGCTGTGCAGCCAACATTTATTTTTACTACCCGTAGAATATGCATTAAAAAGTACTTAAACATTCAGGGAAATCGGATTACTTGGGAAATTGCTCAAAGCTCCTTATAACTGAACTGGGTGGTGGATGTGCTACTCATATGAGTATTTCTGCTGGAACAATCTGGCTGGTTTATAATTAATGTAACTTAGCATTTGTAGATCGCCTTTCATCTAAAAATGTTGAAAAGTCTTGCCAGGCAACGGTTCATCCCCAGGACGCCGATTTAAATGCAAGGCAAGGTGAGCAGCGACTGTAGCCACGGCTGTTTAGTAAAGGTGTTATTTGTACGTGTGTGTACACACAGGCACCCGCACCGCTGTCAGGGAGATCAGCTGATGACATCACTTCACCTCCTAAAGGCTTTCTCCAGAAAAGTATCAGCATGATAGCCGGTATTTACGGCAACAGGTTAAACTGGACAAACGTGGATGTTAAACTGCTCTCCTGAATCCCAAGGTCATCCCTCTGGGTTAGGCTTCAGGCACCACAGAAGACATAGAGGTGACATCTCCATTTGCTGCTGTCCCCGATCCACGTGTTTCAACTTAATAACTGAGGTGGTTTTCACCAGGAAATTACCAGCAGCCTGTGCTTTCCACGTTTCATCTTTGCCCATCCTCAAGATTAAAAAAAAGAAGAAAAAAAAAAAGTATTTTGCCATTTTACCTTTCTCATGAAGTTGTGAAACCCGTTGTCTTTCCCCTACATTGGCAATGACCATGAAAATATTAAAATATTTATGAAATGAATACAAGAGACACATTGTTTCTTGTATCGACTGTAAGGATTTACCTTTGCAGAATTTCTCCTCGTAGGGAATTCCATCTTTTGGATCCACGCCCTGTTGGAGGAGAGAAGGGGCAGATGACAATATCTATCTAGTGCCTGGAAAAATGGCAGTGCAAAACAGGCTGAGGATTTAGTTCTTCTTGAATGATTGCCTGCAGGAAGCACTGCATCATAATAGCGATGCTTTCCTTTACGTTATTTTAATAAGTATATGTACATTTAAATTAATTATAATAGCTGTAATTTAAATAATGATAAGCATCAATAAACAAACTTCCCTCATAACTGCTTCCCCTGTGTTTCCTTAGTTTTTAATAAATACAGTTTTATTACTTGGAATATCAAAGGCAGTACATAAATAGGAGTAATCCAAATCAGTTAATAAACCAGAATAAATAAAAAAACATTTGCAAACTAATTCAAAAGGAGGAAAAAAGAGAAGCAGCGATCAGGAAGGAAGTATAAGATGCAACTTCATTTACTTACCCATATGCCATTGCAGTTAGAGTCACTATTCACATCCCAGTTATCAGGACTGAAATAGAGTTACAAAAGGACATACAGTGTTACAGAAAACAAAGGCAAAGGGGATTTTGAGGAAATCAGATTCTTTCTGCCTTTTTTCACTAAGAATACAAAATAATTAGAAATTCCTTTCTGCACAGAAGGGTGGCTTTTTGCCCCTTTGAATCTAGCAGAGGCAATTTTTCCTAGCAAAATGCAATATTAATTTAAAGTTAGTACTGGAATTTGCTGAATGAACCCTTTTAGTCTGCATATTCACTTAGGTGAAGTGAATGGGGATGATTTTTGCAGAAGATGGACCCTTTTCCCCTGCCCTTTTCCTTGCTTTTAAGTGTTCACTGAAATCTACCGAGGCCCTCACTCCGAATTCAGTGCGCGGTAATGAGGACTTGGCTGTCCCATAACACAGTATAATTAGTTGAGGTGTCTTTTACAGGGAGACTCCATCTATTCACTCGGGCGCTACACATGGACTCTATAAGCTGATTTCTGCTAATGCAGGTGTGCTGCCTAGGCTGATGGCATGTAATTCTTCCAAGCCCATACCCTTAAACTCATCTTATCTAGTCTTAAACTCAGCTCATCTAGTCACAAGCCGGTTAATGCCTAGGTTTTAAAAACAGTCCTGGTCAATAATTTCACAACAAACCCATGGCAGAGGAGAGCTCTAGATTTGAAAGAGCATTTTGAGCACCAGGTGAAATAGCAAGAGCAGGTGGACCTTGTTCAAGGCCACGCTGCTACGACTGGCTGTGCTCTCCGTTTCAGTTGTGCATGGAGGTCCATGCTCAGGCAGCTGGGAGGTATTCACCTAGAAGATATTCACTTGGAAGGGCTCCACATTTCCACCAGGATAACATGAGTGTTGGATGCCGGAGCTCAGCAGCCAGCCATGAGCACCCCTGTTTTGCCCTGCTGCTCCCTAAAGCAGGCACAGCATGCGTTACCTCAAGTGGCATAAGGCTTGTGAGCCTTGGCGCTTGGTTTCCCTCCCCACCTTTGGTCTGTCGGAACAATTTTGGCTGCAGATGCTTCAGAGAAAGGAAAGAAACCAATGCACCACCTCTACCAATGCACCCCATCCCCGATCTCAATCATCCCCTGTTGTCTCCATCGCAGTAAAATCCAGCAACGAGCAGTGACGTGCACTCTAGAGCATGGCCAAAACCAAATATGGATCTTGTTCTTCAAGAAGCCACAATTATTAGGAAGCCTTTAAAATAATTGAAAGCTTTACCGTCTGCCAGGGTACACGGTGGTGTTTTTGTCGTTGCAGTCTCTGCCTCGCCAGTGATAGCCTCTCAACGTCTAAAAGCCAGGAGAAGCACACAGATAGGATGGTCATTGTTACTCTGGCGCTTTTAATTTAAAATATCTAAAATGAGAATCTAACTCAAGGTGTAGGAATAAAACCCAGTAAATGGGTTGTATTCCAGAGTCCCTTTCTTAAGCTTTAATAAATGACACCTTACACACTTTGGTGCAGAAATAAGACAAGCTGGCAATTTAATTTGTTTTTTTTATATGACTTTACCTCTTATTAATTTGGTAAACAGAACACTCAGCAGCAGAGCAATTTGCCTCTGCCAGGAGCATAGCTTTATGTGTGCATCTCCCCAGGTGGCATAAATGAATGATTGTTTTTTCATCCAGAAAAAAACCCAACACCTTTTATGACAAAAACCCCCTCCATTCAGTTAATTCCTATACCTATTTTCACATGAATGAATAAAGCTTTGCAGAAAGTAGAAGGAATCCCATAGACATTCTCATTATCAAGGGATTACTGTACCAAAGGAAAGGCTTTGCTTACTGGGAAAGTACTAAATTTATCTCCATCAAAATCTTCAAAAGGCAGTTTATTTCTTATAACACTGTAAAAAACAAAAACAACAAACACCATATTAACATATGGAAGGGAACATATTCAGAAAGAAAAAAACACAGTAAAGCGTACAGAATAGATAATAGCTGGCATGTTGTTCATGGCTCCATATTCAGTTTTAGCTCCATGCTTGTACTTCAGCAAAGTGATTCTGTCCCAAGGAGCAAATTCTGATTTTTTTCAACATCTGCTGACTGAGCTCTGGAGGTGAGGCTGATGGACTCATGTATGGCTGCTATGTTGAACCTTCAGTCTCTAAAACAAACTAGGACATCAAAACTGTGGTAGAAATAACTATAATTTTTTGGAAATAAATACTACATTCAGCCTGGGAGATCTTACAAATCTGCCAGATATGAAATACTAATGGAAGTCCTTCTACCTGGGAAAGAGCTGCAGAATGGGGCCTCATGCTGATGGAGACTAACCTTCTTTTGTTAAATGGCAAATACCTTTTCTCATATGCATCCCCCAATTCTTTACACTGTCTCTCCCCTGTTGTGTTCAGTCTAGAAGACTTGCAGTTTGCATACCAGGCTGCAGCCACACACACACACAAAATGCTTATTTTATAGGGTATAAGTGGATTTAATATGAAGGACCACACATGCTGAATTCACAGGTGGCCTTAAGCTTTAACTGAGGATTAGAATCTCATCTTGCAATTTCTGTATCTAATCCCACAAACTTGTGGCCATGCTTAAACGTATTTGAGAAAAGTATTTTACCTTGATTTGAGCAATGGAGATCTGAGCTCTCAGTGATCCCCCACTGTGCTTAATTACATTAACCTTTGAAAATTACGTCTTTTTTTTTTTTTTTTTCATTGTGGCTTTTGTTTCCAGCAACCCTATAGGTTTTAGCAGTACCTGAAGCAGGTGTTAAAATGATGGTGTCAGCTCTGTGCCCCTTCCTTTTTAGCTTGGGCACGTGCTAGATTTCACATGGTGCTGCCCAAGCGTGGCACCCGTCTTTGGCTACGGGACACAGCTTAGCTCACCTACATTGATCAGACTTTCCTATTTGGCCCAGCGGGCAGCACTCTTTGAATGACATGCTTGTCAGCCTTTCCTTGGAAAGTTTTCTTTCTGAATTCTTCCAACCTTTTGAACTCATAAGATATGTTGAACCTGGCTCAGACAGCAAATAGGTGCAATGAGGGTGGATTTCTCAGACTGCATGAGCATCAGGATAAGAAAAAAAATAGAGAGGAGAGAGGTGACATGCACTCCTGGTGGGGCTTGTAACACTTATTCTGTCTGTAATCAATAATTTCCATGTGGTGCTTTGGGCTACTTCTTCTCTGTAGTAAGGTTCAGTTGCAAGGAACTGGCACAGATCCAGACCAGCTAAAAAAGTCCAACTGCCAAACATGGTTTTTTGCAGCTACAGAAAGAAGAAAGAAAAAAAAGAAAAAGGGTGAGAGTGCATGAGAGAAAGAGAGATCAGGAGAGTTCAACATATTTGATCCAACATATAATATACAATTTGATCCTGCTTGCATTGTCTGAACTCACAAGGCTCGGATTATTTCAGATTATTTGTCCTGACTTACATTTCAAAAGCACTTACGAGATGTTTCACGTTAATCAATCCATTCCCAATAAACTCATGATATTTGCAGTATCAATTAAATGAGCAGAAATAGGTGAGCAAGTTAATCTTGGGAGTCAAATCAGTCAAAATATACTGCTGATAATACTGACTTATTCTTAGATTTGTTGGACTCCTCCTCCAAATCATTGCAGTACATTGGCAAATGTACTTTAGGACTAATAGACCAGCTGATGTCCTTGGCCTTTCTCAGAAACTCAGCACTGCTGTAAGTTGTTTTTCCTGCCCGCTATCCACCCAGCTTTCTTCAATACCTTGAGATTCTCCCGCACTTTGCAACCGCCACTTAATTCACGTTCCTCACAGAGTTATATAGGTGCTGGTGGCCTTTCTGCACTGAGCTGTGGGCACCACAACTGGGTGAGCAACTGAAATGGAGAAGTCTCTTGGGCACAGGAAATCTCAGGAGGTGTCATACCTTTGAGTGTGTTGTATATTTGACCTCTGGGACCCGCTAAAATTATGCAAATATTTTAAGTATTGAAAAAACAAAGGGATCCCTCCGAGGAATCTTACTTACCTGAACTCTCTGCGACCTCCCTCTACGCTACCTGGACAGTGGTTTTATGAAGAAAACCAACAGAAATAAAGTATAGGAAGCTTTGTTAACTGAGGATAATTTTTGAAAGAAACAAATGTGCCATATTCTGTTTCTGATTAAGGACTGAAAACTTTTTACATACTATTTAATCTTCTCACACAGGTTAGCCAGAGGAGGAAATGCACATACACTTGAGAACCCTGTGAAGCTCTTCTGGAAGGGAAGAAAATAAAAGATGGATGCATTAGTTCACAGAGGCAGTGTGGCTTAGGATATTCAGTGTCAGTAAAGTCCAGAACTAAATAATGTATTTTCTGCCTAGAAACATCTGAAAACTCCAATGACTCCATTAAGGATGCTACATGCCAGAGGATTTAGACCTGACATAGCAGTTAACTTAGGGATTTCGACTGAACATTTTATAAACCAACTACGCCTGCTTTCAAAGAGCTGTAAAATTAAAAAGGAAGGAAGAAGCTCCTGTGAAACTTTCTCCTCTCACGTACCAAAGTGGGTTTTTTTCCACTCTTTGTAAAAGTTACTGTTCTCATGTTTGATTAACATGGTGGTATCTGACACTTAGTGCAAAACTAGTGAAAGCAACACATTGTGGGCCATAAGGCTGGTTTCCGCGTGCTCAGGGAGGGGTGGCCGAAGGTCAGGAACAATCCCAAAGAGAGGAGAAATGGGTGGATCCAGTATGTGCCTAGAATGTCCTTGATTTTTAATGAGATTTTTACCTGGAAATCTCATAACCAGACTTTATTTTAGTCAGAGCTACAAGCTGTAAAAGACAGCTGTTGCAGGATAAACTCTTTCAACATTGGTAGACCATAACCATGGCCCAAAACAGTTGAGGTCCCAGGTAACCAGGAAGCTTCAGAAGCTGAAAGAGACCTTGCTTGTGAATGCTCAAGTTATGGAAACATTGTGCTGCATCGATGATCAGCCTCAAAACATGCTGCTAATGTGGCTCCATTCTAAGTTCAGGAAGTCTTTAAACACCAGGGGTATTCAGGTGGTGTATAAATACGGAGGGCTAGTCAGTACATAGTCTAATTAACTGTATTCACTAGGGGTGCATTCAGCATGTAAATATGGAGCAGATGAGCAGATGGACATACTCATGACTTTATGCAAAGAAGGGTAATTATTTATATTGCCATAGCACTTAAGAGCTCTATCCTTGGACTAACTCCCTTGTGTTACACACTTTATATACACAGGGAAAAAGAAAAAAAAAAGACAGTCCTTGCCCTAATGAGATTACAACCCAAATCTAACATAAAACAGAAGATAAAGGTTGGATTCAGCTCAGGAGAGGACAATGAAAGGCTATTAATCACCATGAGGGTCAGCAACCGCAGCATATAAAGCTTTGAGTGACGAAGGAGCACTTTGAAGTGGCACCGCAGGGCAGTGCTGCTGTGGGGCGTAGGGCACTGCCCTGCGGCTCCAGGGAAGGCAGGAAGGTGTTTGCCTGGACATGTAACAAGGGGTGATGTACATGAGGGTCTCCCACTGCGCAGAGCAGGAGGTCAGCCACAGCAATATGTCATGGCCAGGATCTCGATGTGGAGAGGAGGGCTGGGAGAGAGCCCTTGGTACAAAGATGGCAGCTAATGATTGCACTGGTGGCTGAAGGGACCAAGGTGAAGCTCAACAAGAGTGGTGCCTTGTAGGGGAGCCTTGCAGTGCCGGAGGTGGAGCCATGATTTTCTGAAGGATGCAATAGAGAGGGAAAAAAAAGGAGGAAAGTCAGGGGCACAAGAGACAAGAAACCTGCAACCCCCTCCTGTCCGCCCCCTCTTCAGCTCAGTCCAACAGACTCAAAAGTCATTGGAGGGTGCCATGAAGTGGATGGGGCATCAGTGGAGTCAAAGGAGAAACCACAACACAACTGCAAAAGAAATGGATAGAAATGGCCAAAAGCAGCAGGGAGTGAGGCCCTTCCATGAGCTGAAAGACTAACCTGGTCCCACTGCTGTAGCTCCAGCCGCCCCACACT